TGCCGCCGCCGCCGCCGCCGCCGCCGGGAGAGGAGGAAGGACAGTATATGCGTCTTTTGACTATCAAAAACCTTTGACAAGGATGTCTTCTGTCTTCACTTCTATCTTCTAGTCAGCATTGCAATGAAGTTCTACCTAGGGTAATTAAGCAAGAAAACAAAGGCATCCGAACTAGAAAAGAAGTCATCGATCTCTATTTACAGATGATGTGGTCTTGTACACAGAAAAATCTTAAGGAATCTACACAGAAAACATGTTAAATGTTAAAGGACTCACACCTCCTGGTTTCAGAACTTACTACAAAGCCACAATAATCAAAACAGTACTGGCATGAGTATAGATACATAGATTTATGAAATCAAATTCAGAGTCCAGAAATGGACTTGTAGTCAATTGATGTTTGACAAACATGCCAAGACAATTTGGTTGGGAATGTAGAATGCGGCAGTCAACTTGGAAAAGAGTTTGTCAGTTCCTCAAAATGTTAAACACGGCTTTACAACACAACCCAGCAATTCCACTCGTAGGTATATACCCAAGAGGATAGAAAACATATGTCCACACAATAACTTGTACATGGATGTTTATAGTAGCATTATTCATAAGGGCTACAAAGTGGAAGCCACGATTACCAACTGATAGATGGAAAAGCACAATGTGATGTTCATGCAATAGATTAGTCAGCCATAGCAGGAACAAGGTGCTGATGCACGCTGCCACGTGGGTAAGCCTTGAAGGCTAGTGGATGACTCCAGACACAAAAGGCCATGTTGGGGCCGGCCCGGTGGTGCACTGCTACAGTGCGCCGCTTGGGAAGCGCGGCGGCGCTCCCGCCGAGGGTTCGGATCCCACATACAGACCGGTTCCCGCTCACTGGCTGAGCGAGGTGCGGGCGCGACACCGACCGTTGCGATCCCGTTGCCAGTCCCGGTCCGGTACGGGGGCGACACTGAGGGTTGTGATCCAGTGCCGGACACGAAAAAAGACAAAAAGGAAAAAAAAAAAAAAAAGGCCATGTTGCATTTTGTTTAACGTTGTATGTGAAATATCCAGAATTGCAGATCCATAGACCAAAAAAAAAAAAAAAAAAAGGCCATGTTGCATTTTGTTTAACGTTGTATGTGAAATATCCAGAATTGCAGATCCATAGACCAAAAAAAAAAAAAAAAAAAGGCCATGTTGCATTTTGTTTAACGTTGTATGTGAAATATCCAGAATTGCAGATCCATAGACCAAAAAAAAAAAAAAAAAAAGGCCATGTTGCATTTTGTTTAACGTTGTATGTGAAATATCCAGAATTGCAGATCCATAGACCAAAAAAAAAAAAAAAAAAAAGATTGCCAGAGAATGGGGAAGATGGAAAACAAGGAACATCTGATAATGGGTATGAGGTTTCTTCTGGGGGTGATGAAAATGTTCTAAAATTTGGTAATGAAGATGGCTACACAACCCTGTGAATATCCTGAAAAACCACTGGATTGTTCACTCTAAAACAGTAGATAAAGCTGTTACTGTGGAAGGAGAAATCTCATTTTTCTTGGTTTTAAAAAGGTAAAATGACTTTTACTTCAGGCCAAGATGGACTAACAGGGATCAGATTTACCCTCCTGCTTGAACAAACAAAAAAAAAAAGGACAAAATACATGAAACAGTGATTGTCTCAGGAATCAGAGCTGAGGAAACAAACAGGTGAGAGTCTGGTAAGGCCAGTGTTGGGAGAACGGAACAATTTGTTCAGGCTCCCCTCGCCTTGGAGACAGTTCAGGGTGGTTCGGTAACATTGTGTGTGTGGGTGGAGTGGGAGCACCTGCACGGTGCCACGTTGGCTGGTTTTTACTGCCCCAGGCACCCACCCTGTGGCCATGTTTTTCCAGACTTGCAGCTTCCAAGGACCTTTTGGCCGGTTGCCTAGCTCGTAGACCTGCGTGGAGGGGTCTGGTGACCCAGCCTGGCGTGTGATGGGTTTGTGGCCCAGTCTGTGAATGGGCTTGAGGGGTCTGGGAGCTCCAGACCCAGCCCTGGTTCAACCATCGGCCCAGTCAGTGCAGGATCACCGGCAGGTAAAAGAGCCCGACAACTAGTGCGGTCGCCTAGTGTTACAACTGGCGTCACGAACAGGATTGAGAGCTAGATGACTGGCGCTGCGAGCAGGATACACGACATCAGCCTTAGCTGTAGCTTAGCAGTAGCCAGACAGGGACATACTTATACTAAAACATTATTCGTTGTTTACCTGAAATTCAAATTTGACTGGGCATCCTGTTTTTATTTGTGACATCTGGCAGCCCCATCACTACTGAGGCAAGACCTTTCTGAGCATTCTACCCGTTGCACTGTGAATTATGAGGATGCCCAGTCTGGCTGGTGGGAAGAAACACTGCTCCTGGCACCGTGTGAGCACGGGCCACCTTTACTATTGTACCACTAATAACTTAAAAAAAATTTTTTTAAAAACGTCTATTTACATATCTTTGTGGGGTACAGTGTGTGGTTTCAATACATGCATATGCTGCACAAGGACTCACTCAGGGTAGGCAGCAGAGTTTTGTACCCATTAGGCCACCACTTCTCCCCCTGAACTCCCTTCCCTCCTGCCTCGGGTGATCGGTATTCTACCCTCTATTTCTATGAGAACCGCTTTTTAAAAAACATTTTTTAAATTGAAACATAACTGATTGTACATGTCTGTGGGGTGCCGTGTTGACTATCAATACCGTTAGGTCCCTGGAACTGAGAGCCTGACCTTTAGAAAGCCCCCTCCCTAAAGTTTCCTTCCTCTCAGTTTCTGTCTCCCCAAGTCTCTGTTCCCAGGAGCAGGCTGAGCAGGCTGTCCCCAGAGTGTAACATCATAGCTGTCTCCCTCTGTTAGCCCAGGGTTTCTGTCTCCCCAAGTCTCCGCTCCCATGAGGGGCTGTACCCGGAATGGAACATTGTGACCGTCTTCCTAGGCTGGGCCAGATGCTAATCTTAACCCTATAGAAGAAGACACACACCGCCTCTTGGTGCTGATGCCATTTTTTGGCTCAGCCCAGCAGGTCCGCTTGCTGCTTGCTAATAAAATCCTCTTTTCTTCCTTTACCTGGCTAGCGTCTCCTTCCTTGGTGGCCTTACAAATACGTACGTGCAATATGTGATGTTCAAACAGGATAATTAATATATTCAGCATCACACGACATAATCATTTTTTAAGGCCTTTCGCCAATTTCTTGCTAACCTCCCTCCCCCTCCACCTTTCCCACCTCTGGTAACCTCAGCTGTGTTCTCTCCTTTTGAAAGTTCAACATATCATTGTGATGTATCTTTCTTTCTTTCTATTTATTTATTTAGCTCCCACTTGTGAGGACATGTGGTTTTTTCTTTCTGTGCCTGATTTATTTCACTTAACATAATCTTCTCGAGTTCATCCATGTTGCTGCAAATGCCAGAATTTCATTCTTTTCTGTTGCAGACTAGTGTTCCCTCGAGTACATGTACCACGCTTTCCTTATCCGGTCATGTGTCAATGGGCACTCAGGTTGGTTCCAACTCTTGGCTGCTGTAAACAGAGCTGCGATGAACATGTGCACCCCTGACATTTTGGTGGGGTTCTTTCCCCAGCTTTGAGCTGTTCCTCACCAGCATGTGCTCATCAGCCTTTTGCTGAATACTCAGGGGGACCCTGCGCATCTTGAGAGTTCTCTGTCTGTCTCTGCCTCTCTCTCTCTCTCTCTCTCTCAGATTTACCCTCCTGCCTGAGTAAACAGAAGAAAAAAAAAAAACCACAAAACACACGGAATAATGGTTTTCAAGACAATGGCATCAGGCAAAAAAGGACAGTGAACCGAGAGACAGAACACAGAAGAGGTGAGCCCTGTGATGGTCTATCTCTCCTCCACTGTGGCCTCTCATACAAAGTGTAGCCATCTGGGTGTCTGGCTACTGCGAGGCTAATGTCACGAATCCTGCTCGCAGCGCCAGTCGTCTAGCTCTTAATCCTGTTTGTGATCCCAGTTGTAACACTAGGCAACCGCCCTAGTTGTCGGGCTCTTTTACCTGCCGGTAATCCTGCACCAACTGGGCCGATGGTTGAACCAGGGCTGGGTCTGGAGCTCCCAGACCCCTCAAGCCCATTCACAGACTGGGCCACAAACCCTTCACACACCAGGCTGGGACACCGGCCCCCTCCACGCCAGGCTGGGTCACCAGGCCCCTTCACGCAGGTCT